ACAAAACATTTCTAGCCAATGCCCTTGTTTCCCCACCTGCTCCTTCTCAAGCCGAAGGGTAAATTGGTGAGTTGGAAACACTGATTTCTCATGAACAAAAGCTTTTATTTTTTGAATTTAACTTTGCCAACAAATGTAATGGCACATGAGGGGAAGGTGATGGACAATATCACAGTTTCTCCACGCTCCCTAATGATAATGACAATACTCACATAGCTCTACACAGGGTGCAAAAATCTGTTCATTTGACGCTGGCAGCCACCCGTGAGCAAGGTAGGACAGTCCTCTCTGTTTTCTGGAGGGGAAGCAGGCTGAGAGAAGCATGCAAACTACCCAGGGATATAAAACTCCTTGCAGGGGCCGGCTTCCTCCTCCCTCGTACCCTAAAACATATACTCTTTCCTGAGTCCCTGCTCGCTGAACAAAGCAGGTGGCTGGGCTGTGGGATGGGCAGAGGGAGTGGACTGGCCCAGCAGGAGCCACACTTCTGGGCTTATTCTTGCCACAGGGAGGGTAGAAAAAGCAAGTGGAGATTGTGGGCGGTGCTCTGAGGGGGTTTAACCAGGATCGTGAATAATGAGAGAATAAAGCGAGGCAGAAAGGGAATGCAGAGGGCTGGCCGGGAGCCTGTAGGCCACTGATATCCCGGACATGTGAGAGGTCTCCAGGTGGGCCTCTCATTCCCAGAGTTTTCCTTTGCTGGACCCTCAGGCCTCACTCTGATGAGATCTATGTACCTGCCTGCCTCTGTGGGTGTCACCGGCACCACTTTCCCAGTCTGGGCCTATTCCATCTGGCCATCTTGTCCTGACCTCCACCCAGGCCACGTTCTCAGCTGCAACTTCCCACCTGAGCCAGGTGCATGGCCACCCTCCACAAGGTGTGGTGAGCAGGAGGTGGGAGGAGACAGCAGGGAGCCACCGTCTCAGGATCACTTGCTCTGGACCACCCCTTGTCCCTCTGTCTCAAGAGGCTGCCCCTTATAATCTCCAGGAAGCTGTTTTGAAAAGGAGGTGCCCAGTGTGGCAATGAAGTACTATTGTCCCCTGGTGTTTGAGGAGAATTGTGTGCAGGTGCATGTGTTGAAGGGGAGGAGATGGGAAATGAACCGTGACTGATGTCTGAAACCCAGTCTACTGGGTGCTGAGGAAATGCTGTGTGTGTTTGTGTGTGTGTGTGCACATGTGCATGCATGTTTTTATGATCACATGTATGCAAGAATGGTGAGTGAGATGGAGACAGAGCAGAAGAAACTGCCGCTCTCCCCTGTATTAATGAACGTAATCCTCACACCACCATACCCTGCAGGGTAGGGACTATCCAGTGTCTTCTACAGATCAGGAAATGGGGAATCAGAGAGGATTGAATTGCTTGTCCAAGGCCACACAGCTACTGAGAAGCGGTGATGACATTTGAGCTAATGTGTCTCTCAGACCCCCACGTTGGTGCCCCTCCACTGGGCCACAGTCCACCTTCACACATGGAATAAGGACTAAGCAGGTTGTATCCAACTGCTTCCTTTACGTATGTTGGCATCACAGGTTAATATCTGAATTTATTTGAACCTTTAAAAACAAGCTAGTTTTATTATATGTCTATGATAAATAAAAAAAATTTTAAAAACTACTTTTAGCTTGCAGCACTTTCCGTGGGTAATATGCCCCGACTTACATGTCAAAAGGGCCCTTCCTTCTCCTTGCCACCCTTCTTTGGCCTTCTCCAAGAACTACATGTTAATGATCCACACACGTGCCACTGCCAGTCACGCTTCCCCCACCCCACCCCCAGTGATCTCCATTACCTTCCTCTAATTATGCCTGGTCTTCAGACATGGGCACTAGAAAGGATACAGTATTGCAAACCTTTTTGTTTTTATCTAAGGTAACAATAACAATAACAACAGCAGCCAACAGATCACCTACAGTTCATCTAATCCTGGAAAGTAGCTATAATTTTCATTATCTATCTTCTTCTGTTCTATTCTCAGAAGTATGATGAAGACACTGAGGCTCAGAGAACCCAGGTGTCTTGCTCATGTCACACAGCTCCTAAGTACCGGAGTCAAGGTTTGAACCTAGTCTTGTATGAAGTAGGAGAATTGCCTCAAAGTGCTGGGAGTTGGGGGGGCAGCCCAACATTTGCATGAGTACTTTGCTGCAGTGAGATTTCTGGCTAGCATTCTGAAGCAGTTAAATAACTTTCTGCTTTTACTTTGATGACTTCAGATATCTTCATATATGAAGATAGGATCATTGGATAGCTATCCTGTAACTAAACATAAGAAGTTTACATCTTGCTTTATATTTGTGAATATTTAAAAGTAATTATAACAACAACAATTGAAGCTCATACCAGGCTATATAATATTTTTCTTTAAAAGGAGTCTATGTGGTAAGAGAAGGCGATCAAGGGTATCCAAATAGGGTCAGAGGAGATCAAACTCTCACTCTTCGCTGATGACATGATTAGGGTGACCAGATTTTAACATCTGAAAAGCGGGACAACATGGCTATGGGTCGGGGCAGGGGGCGGGGCAGGGGACGGGGCAGAGCAGGGCCTGACAACAATGCAAACTTTGATAAGCGGTTCTTGATAATCAGTTCTCAACAATTATTTGTTATTATTACAGTTTAACATTATAAAACTAACAAAAATAATATAAAACTCATATTCTGGCAAAATAGCCACATCGCAGCCGAAAACTGTATATTCCCTTCCTATTCTCCCGCCCATTCGTGCATTCTTTCCAAAAATCAGGACTTTTTTAAAACGCCGCGGGACGCAGGACAAATTGTTAAAAAGTGAGACTGTCCCACCAAAAGCAGGACGTCTGGTCACCCTAGACATGATCCTCTACTGGAAAATCCCAGAAACTCAACTTCAAAACTCTTAGAAGTGATCAAGGAATATAGCAGCATCTCAGGATATAAAATCAATACTTACAAGTCAGTAGCTTTTATATATACCAACAATAGTCAAGCTGAAAAAACAATCAAGGACTCTATTCCTTTTACATAGTGTCAAAGAAGATGAAATATCTGGGAATTTACCTAACAAAAGATGTGAAAGATCTCTATTAAGAGAACTATGAAACTCTGAGAAAAGAAATAGCTGAATATGTTATAACAAATGGAAAAACATACCATGCTTATGGTTGGGAAGAATCAACATTGTTAAAATGTCCATACTACCCAAAGCAATCTGCAGATTTAATGCAATCCCTATTAAAGCACCATTGTCATACTTTAAAGAACTTGAAAAAATAGTACTTCATTTTATATGTAATCAGAAAAAAACCTTGAATAGCAAATACATTACTCAGAAATAAGAACAAATCAGGAGGTATCACATTACCAGACTTCAGGCTACACTATAAATCTATAGTGATCAAAACAGCATGGTGCTGGCACAAAAACAGAGCGGTAGATTTATGGAACAGAACAGAGAACCAAGAGATGAACCCAGCTACTTGTTGTTTGATCTTTGACAAGCCTATCAAAAATATTTAGTGGGGGAAAGACTCCCTATTTAACAAATGGTGCTGGGTGAACTGGTTGGAGACCTGTAGAAAGCTGAAACTGGACCCCCACCTTTCACCATTAACAAAAATTGATTCTCACTGGATAAAAGATTTAAACTTAAGACATGAAACTATAAAAATACTAGATGAGAGTGCAGGGAAAACACTTGAAGAAATTGGCCTGGGAGAATATTTTCTGAGGAGGACCCCCTGGGCAATTGAAGCAACACCAAAAATACATTACTGGCATCTGATTAAACTAAAAAGCTTTTGCACAGCCAAGAGCATAGTAAGTAAAGTAAACAGAGAACCTTCAGAATGAGAGAAAATTTTTGCAGGTTATGCTTCCGACAAAGGTCTGATAACTAGAATCTACAGAGAACTCAAACTAATCAATAGGAAAAGAATAACCCCCTTTCTATGTGGGCAAGAGACTTGAACAGAAACTTCTCTGATGAAGACACATGCATGGCCTATAAACACATGAAAAAATGCTCATCATCCATAATCATCAGAGAAATGCAAATCAAAACCACTTTGAGATATCATCTAACTCCAGTAAGATTAGCCCACATCACTAAACCCCAAAACTACAGATGTTGGCGTGGATGCAGAGAGAAGGGAACACTTTTACACTGCTGGTAGGAATGCAAGCTAATACAGCCTTTTTGGAAAGAACACTCAAGGAACTAAAAGTAAACATACTGTTCAATCCTGCAATTCCTCTACTAGAGGAATTATTTTATTTTACAACAAAGACATTTGCAGAATGTTTATTGCAGCCCAATTCATAATAGCCAAGACTTGGAAACAGCCTTAGTGCCCATCGATTCATGAATGGATTAACAAACTGTGGTATATGTACACCATGGAATACTATGCAGCCATAAAAAGATGGAGACTTCACGTCTTTTATGTTTACCTGGATGGAGCAGGAACATAACTCTTCTTAGTAAAGTATCCCAAGAATGGGAAAAAAAGTATCCAATGTACTCAATACTACTATGAAATCAATATGTAATCACCTACACACTCATATGAATGGCAAAACATAACTATAGTCCAGAAAGTAGAAGGGAAGAGGAGAGAGAGGGGAGGGGAGGGGCAGGAGGAGGGAGGGTATTTGGGGACCTTACCTAATGTGCATGATGCAATGGTACATTTCAAAACTATTAAGAAATGAGTATAATTGTCATGGATGTGTTACTTAGTTCTATGTAAGCATTTCACATTGTATATCAAAGCAGTACCCTGAACCCCATAAATGCATCACTGTAAAAAGTTATTATTTAATAAAAAATAATAATAAATAAAATAAAAGGAGTCTATGTGTTACTTAAATTTGACTAACAGCATTCATGTTCTAGAAATGAGATGACCAGCTCTTTCAGAATATACAGCAACTGCCCCTGCCTAGCGGTGTCAAGTTTAGGAGACTTACGGTAAAGCCATGTTTCCAAGGAGGTCAGTACAGAAAGCCAGACTTCTGTTGGCAGTTTCTGGGAGACTTACACTTTCCATCCATTGCAGCCACCATCGTTTTTTTCTCCAGAAGTTTATAACAGAAAAGGCTCTGTTGGGGTATTCATCTGTTTCCCCTGTTCCCCTGGTGTTTGGTGGTGTTGCAAATGGGCAAGGCTAAAATGAGCTGGTTATCTCAGGATCATGGAAAGCCTGGAATCAAGGTTCAGGAATGCCCCCTATTTTCGTTGTGAGAAGGGAAACGATTCTGTCTCCGTGTGCCAGAAGTGTGAGACGTGTGTCTTGGCTTGGAAGATCTTTTCTACCAAAGAGTGGTTCCGGAGGGTCAACGAGATATGGCAGAGGAGGTTTGTAGTCAGCATTCTGGAGCAGTTAAATAGCTTGTATTTGTTACACTATTTCCAAAATATCCTTCAGGCCACACAGGGGAAGGATTTCATCTATAACAGGTCCCGGATCAACCTCAGCAGGAAGGAGGGGAAAGTCGTGAAGTCCTCCTCCTTTAACCAAATGTTGGATAAAACGGTGGAACAGAAGATGAAGGAGACGCTGTACTGGTTTGGGACCAGCACTCACCGGACCAAGGCCCATTACACCCTCCTGCTGCTGCAGATGTGTGACCCCAAGTTACTGCTCACTGCTGCCAATGTGATCAGGGTCCTGTTTCTGAGAGAGCGGAACAATATCTCAGGTAAACAAGGCCACAAAGACTAGAAAGACTTCAGGGGCCTGTAGGGAACTGCAGGTGTTGGTCTGTTCAGGTAGACAGGGAGCGTCCCGTCCCGGCTGCAGCATGGGGTTCTCTGAACGGACACCTTGTCCTGACACCTGATCCTGTTTACCATAGGAGAAATGGAACAATGTAACTTCCTTCTAAAAACCATAAAGTAGCAAGTGCAGGAGGAAATATAGAACGTTTAAATGTCAAACATTTAAAATGGATTTCTGCCTCCTGTAGACCCAGAAACGGCTGGTCCCTGCTTGTGACCACTTAATCCAGTGTTGCTCCTGCTTTAAAGGTTAGGCTGGGCTTGAGAGAGGCAAAAAGGGGAAGCTGCTAGATTGTTCTGCCTTTAGCTATAATGCACAGAAGCCAGGCCATGAGGTTAGACTTTGGGGCTTTCTTTTTCATTCATTCCACCAAATTCCTTGCTTACACATAAGAGCAAACCTCAAAGTTGAGTTTTTGCAAGGCTGGAACTCAAGCCCCACCGGTGATAGAAATTTTGTACCTTAAAGACCCCAAACTCTGCACCCATGCACCTCCTGCCCCTGTGCCTCGCCACGTGGACCCCCCCCCCACTTTAGGACCCCTCCTAATCTCAAGTCTCCGGCCTCCCTTCTGGTTTCTTTGGCTTCCTTGAACCAACTGGCCAAATACATGGAGGGTAGCAGTTCTCAAATTGCATGGAGATCTCCAGAAGGGTTTGCTGAACACAGACTTTGGGGCTCCTTCCCCAGAACTTCTGACCCAGCAGGTCTGAGGTGGGGCCCGGGATTCTGAATTTCTAACAAGTTTCCAGTGGATGCCCATGCTGCTGGTCTGGGGACCTCACTTTGGGAATCACTGGTTTAGGGCGTTAGTGAGAGAATCTTGCAAACATCTAGCCAGCTGGTTCAAGGAAGCCAAAGAAACCAGAAGGGAGGCCAGAGACTTGAGATTAGGAGGGGTCCGGGAGTGGGTGGAGCATGTGGAGAGGCACAGGTGCGGGCGGGTGCACGGGTGCAGAGTTTGGGCTCTTCAAGGCACATAGTTCCCATCACCAGTGGGGCTTGAGTGTTGGTCATATTTGTACATTAATGGAATCCTAAAGAATTTGAAAGCTGGATGGTCTAGGGGGCAATTAGATTAAAATATATGTCATTGACTTCTTCAGTGTGTCAGGGCTGTAAAGGAGGCACCTATAGAATGAAGACCTGGCAGAAAAAAATTAGAGAATCCTAGTGTGTCAGAGCTATAAATTAGTTTAGAGATCAACCAGTCCAATTCCTTAATTTTATAGGCAAGGACACCAAAGTTCAGGGAATTTGAGGGACTTGGCCTAGGTCACCCAGCAGTGGGCTGAAAACCAGGAGCTCCTCCTGAGCATCTTCCCCACTCTGTCGGAGGGAGGGCCTGCTCTGTGCTCCTCTTCCAAAAGCTTCGCCAGGCACCCCAGAACAGGCTATTCATACTGGAGCTGTGTAAGTCCTCTTAGGGGTGTGACAACCTTCCTCTTTTCCTGGGGAAGATTCTCTTTACAAAGTTTCATGTGACTCAAGGGCAGTTATTTCTGCCATTAAAGAAAATTCAGCAAGAGCTTCCAAAAAGCAGTCCATCTGGAGGCTCCTGCCCATGACCCTTTCTCTTTCTCTCTCCAGGAATATGGCAGGCCTTTCATACATTTTGCATCGGAGATGGGCTCAACATCAAAGGGGGGCTTGCCGAGATTTTTCTATGGAAAACCCAGAGACCTCAAGCAGAGACAGATATAACTGCCCTGTTCTCTTCTGTGTATATTTAAAAGAAGGAAGGAAAAATAAAACTGTTTCTCTCCACCTCATTTTCCTCCACACACCTGTTCTTTAGAGAGCGACGTTTTCTCGGCCTCTTGTTTTTCAGGGCTCAAGAAAGACTCCTCCGATGTGTATTTTTCGCCCGAGAGAAAGTACAACCCCCAGTCTGAGACCTCAGATGTCTATTGGGCAGTCAGAACTCAGCAGACATCCTTTCCTTTGTCCAAAGCCCCAGAAGGTGAAAATGTGCAGGGAAAAGCATCTGATCTTGGTAAGTGAGCTCATAGCAGGTGAGATGGGGAAGTCCCAGTGGAGCTGGAAGGCTGGCAGGACAGCAGCATCTGGGGGTGGCAGACTTTGGAAACTGACATTCTCACGGCCCCTACAATGTGTTGGGGGCTTTGATATTTTTTTTCCCCTCATCTAATCCTCATAGCTGATGAGGCGAGAAGCAAGGACTAAAATTGGCACAGGTTTCCTTCCACCTCTCGGGATGGTGTCTCCAACAGACACCTGAAGATAAAGATCAGAAGGGAAGGTGTCAAGGATTTCCCCTGAAGACCCCTGCCCCAGGCCCACAACTCATCAGCAGCCCCTGAGTGCCAGTGTGGTGGGCAGTTCTAGAATCCAACCCACCAGGGTCTATTTTTTTTTTTTTTTAAGACAGAGTCTCAAGCTGTCACCCTGGGTAGAGTGCCGTGGGGTCATAGCTCACAACAACCTCCAACTTGGCCTCAAGTGATCCTCTTGCCTTAGTTTTTCTATTTTTAGTAGAGCTGGGGTCTAACTTTTGCTCAGGGTAGTCTCAAACTCATGAGCTCAAGCAATCCACCCACCTGGGGCTCCCAGAGTGCTGGGATTAAGGTGTGAGCCACTGTACTCAGCCTACCACGGCCTGTTTTTGTAGCCTTGGATTCAGTCTTGAGGAGGGAACAAAAGCAGTGGGTCCCTGACCTTAGGGTCCCTCCTAAGTTGTTTTTGTGTTTTCATTTTGTTTTGTTTTTGGCTTTTGAGAGAGTCTTGCTCTGTCACCCAGCTAGAGTGCAGTGGTGTCATCACTGCTCCCTGGGCTTAAGGGATCATCCTGCCTCAGTGCCCTGAGTAACTGGCACCACCCCTACACCTGGCTGATTTTTCCTTTTTAGTAGAGACAGGGTTTCACTCTTTCTTAGACTGGTCTTGAACTCCTGAGATCAAGTGATCCTCCCACCTCAGCCTCCCAGAGAGCTAGGATTTTGAAGTCTGATAATCACTCACATAATGATTCTCCTGCTTCAACAGTGATCAACATATTAGTACTCTTATTTCATCCCCCATTTTGTAAATTGTTTAAAGTTTTTTCTTATTGGGATATTTTCAAGGAAATTCCAGACACAACGCCATTGCAGACTTTGCTAATATAGACGTCTCCTTAAGCTGAGAAGGCTGAAACGTACATGTACGTTTGGGTCAGGAGTCTCTATTTTCATGACGAAAATCCAGTTGCTAAAGGACAGATGTTAATGTGCTTTATTTTGGGGAGAGATTTGGTGAGGACTTGTTCTCAGCTGAGAGTTTATACAGAGACAACTCAACCCTGTGTCTTTCTCCGGCTTCACTCTAGAGGGACAGTGGAGGAGTTCGCTGCAGTGTATTTCTGAGATGAACAAGCTGTTTTCTGGGGAAGCGGGCCTCAGCAAGCTGGGGTACGACCCCTGCAATCTGTTGATTGACTTGGATACTGTCAAGGAACTGTCTTCTGGGTTCAGCAAATACCGAGACTTCATCCGTCTCCTGCCCATCCACCTCTCCAAGTACATTCTAAGTATGCTGGGGTGCATTAGGGGATTTCTCAGACACCTGCCATCCTGGCCCAGTGCAGGGGTTTCTGGGTCAATCTTTGTTTTTTTCTTTTTTTCAGGAATGCTGGATAAGAACAGCCTGCACAAGTGTTTCTTCGTGAGCCAGCACTGGGCCATCGTAGCCCAGCAGGTCAAGATGGAATTGTCAGCGCAGAACTTCATCCAGAACCAGATTACCATTTTGCAGGTACTCACTGCCCGGAGCCCAGCCTCGTGTCCACGTCGAGACTCCCCACCTTTTCCATCTCCCTGGTAGGCCTCACTGGCTTCCTGCTCCACCTCGCAGCTCCTGAGGTATCTGCAGCCCCTTCCTTTTAGTCTGGATGCCTGTTGACCTCATGTACTTTCTCATAATCAGTGAGGCTAGGACGGGCGACTTGCATAGAAACCCCTCATCAGCAGAGAGGCAGAGCCTTTCCAAAAGCTCACAACACAGAGAAGTGTTCTGCCCCTGGGGAGTTTTATTGTAGCTTACGTAACAAGAAGGCCACAGATGTGTTTCTGCATCAGCCTCAGATGCCATCTAGATGTCTACAAGCCTCGGCATATATGTTTAGGATAAAAGGCAACCTTCCTCCAACTAGTGACTCTTCTTAGTTCCTTTCTGGAAGCCTCACCCTAAACCATGGGTTCTTGGTAGGTTGGGTTTTTTCTCAGCAGAGACAGATGACAAAGGTTAAAAAGGCAGCAGGTGCAATGAGGCTGCCGTGGTGCAGAAGCTGCTGCCCTCTCCCACTGGCCCGTCCGGGTGTTCAGTGTCTGCCCTCCTCCTCCATTCAGACTGTGCATACTGTCGGCCTGCCGGGCCTTCCTTCCTCAGCCAGGGATTGCATATTTTGCCAAAAACAGTTCTTCCTTTCCTCCTAGAGAATAGGAACCAAGGGTAGCCATTTTCTAATTTTTGGTTTTTTTTTCCAGGGGTCTTACTCAAAGGGAATAGATCCCACTTATGCCAATAAGCTTCTTATCCCAGTCCCGAAGGTGGTTGATGACTCTAAACGCGGGCGTGTGAAAGGCCAGAGATGGAAGCTGAGAACGAAGGTGGGTTCCTGTGGCACCTGGGGCAAGTGGCTATGATGGTCACATTGGAGGCTCAAGTCCAGACTCAGTCCTCAAATAGGGACCAAGAATAGTGGCACTACCTGGGAGACCAGAGTCCCCTGTGCTGCTACCGACTTGCAGTGACTCCAGTCTTGAACCTTGATTTCCTCATCTGTTGAATGAGCGTGGTGATCTGGTTGTTCCCTCAGTGTCCTCCCTTACTTCACACTCTGTGGCCATGTTTTGGGGGTCCATGCCCCAGATCATTTGGGGCAGAGTTCCAGGCCATAGCTGGGCTTGTTCTTAACCCTATCAGCTTCTGCCTCTGGGATGGTCCTGAATGTCCATGGCCTAGAATGAATCCAGCTTTCTTATCTCTCACTTCCAAGTTCATTTTTGTGCCAGGATAAAAGGGTAAAGGAAGAAAAAAAAGAAGGAAGGAGAAAAAGAAAGAAGAAAGGAAGAAAAAGAACAAAGAAAGGGAGGAAGAAAGGAAAGAAAGACAGAAGGAAGGAGGAAGGGAGGAAGGAAGGAAGGGAGAGAGGAGTAAGGCAGTAAGGAAGGAAGGAAGGAAAGAAGAGAGGGAGGGAGGAAAGAATTGGGACCCTTGACTCAACACTTCCTGTCCCATGGACCACCTTGCTGCCTGCTCCTAGGCCCCTCCCTTCACACATAGGAGAAGCTATAGCCTTCGGAGGAAGCATCCCTGGGCCCTGAGTTTCTTGCCAGGGAGGACTGTGGGTAGAGATGCCACCATGCTTTGACTCCACGTATTCCCTTGTTAGAATGACTACAACCTGTGGACTGCATACCAGAACCAGGAAACTCAGCAGGTCCTGATGGAGGAGAGAAATGTCTTCTGTGGGACCTACAATGTCCGCACGCTTTCTGACACGTAAGTACCAGGGTCAAAACCTAGGTCTTCAGGGACCCTGGAGTTACTCACACTGGCATCTCAGGATTCCCCCAGCCCTCATTTCCTTGGAAGGGCAATCCACTCCTCCTCACCTCAAGCTCCAGCTCTGAAGCTTCATGAGATCCCATGTGGACCATTGGTGGTTAATTTTGCACCATTCTTGGCAGTGGGTAGAGGACATTCTCCCTTTATAAATTCTGGGTATACTGACCAACAACCTTTTGCACAAGTCACATTCATGCAATACTTATTTTCTTTGAGATACTTCTATTGTTTTGTTTTGTTTAAAAAAAAAAACAAAACAGAATCTTGCTGTGTCATCCAGGCTAGAATGCAGTGGCATCATCATAGCTCACTGCAAACTCAAACTCCTGGGTTCAAGTGACCCTCCTGCCTTAGCCTCCTAAGTAGCTGGGACTATAGGAATATACCACCACACTCAGCTAATTTTTCTATTTTTAGTAGAGACAGGGTTTTGCTTTTGTTCATGGTGGTCTCAAACTCCTGACCTCAAGCATTCCTCCCTCCTTGGCCTCCCAGAGTGCTAGGATTATCTTTATTACATACGCTTATTATCTTTATTATATATGCTTAGTGGGAAAAAAATCCTCCAAATGGTGAGAAAATGCACAGAGAAAAGCAAAGATCCCCTATAATATTGTTACCGAGGAATAACTACCATTAATATTGATGTCTATTCTAGAATTTTTCTTTGCATAAGTAGCACATACCATATATATGTGTATATATATATGGAGAGAGAGAGAGACAGACAGAGAGTCAGTCTCACTATGTCGCCCTGGGTAGAGTGTTACAGCTCACAGAAACCTCAAACTCTTGGGCTCAAGCAATCCTCTTGCTTCAGCCTCCTGAGTAGCTAGGACTATAGGTGCCTACCACAAGGCCCGGCTATCTTTTTTTTTTTAAGAGACATGATCTCACTCTGGCTCAGGTTAGTCTTGAACTTCTGAGCTTAGGCAATCCACCCACCTTGGCCTCCCAGAGTGCTGGAATTATAAGTGTGAGCCACCGCACCTGGTCCCTACCATTTTTTTTTTTTTTGACACAGAGTCTCACTATGCCACCCTCAGTAGAGTGCCGTAATGTCACAGCTCACAGCAATCTCAGACTCTTGGGCTTAAGCGATTATCTTGCCTCAGCCTCCCGAGTAGCTGGGACTATAGGCGCCTGCCACAATGCCCAGCTATTTATTTATTTTTTTTAGGTTGTAGTTGTCATTGTTTGGCAGGTCCAGGCTGGATTCGAACCCGCCAGCTCTGGTATATGTGGCTGGTGCCATAGCTGCTGAGCTACAGGCACAGAGCCAGACATACCATATTTTAAGTAGAAATGGTGGTATGCTACATGCTGTTCTGGAACCCAGCCTAGCAAATTATCATGAATATTTTTCCATGGGAAATATGAATATTATAATAATTGCACAGTGTCACATGATTTGGCTATAGCGTAAGAAATCCCTTTAATAATTAACTTTCTGTTGTCTTTTAGGTATTGCATTTCACTCTTTATTCACAAGGTTTTGGGAAAGCTACCTCTACTTTATTTTCAACCATGAATCTTATTAACAAATTACATCTTGATAATACAGGATGTCCCAAAGGTTGCCATACATAAAGAAATAAACATAATCATATTACATTTTCTTATATTTATATATCAACATATAGAGAAATACTTTGTAAAATTTTGTGCATCTTTTGTAGATAAAGGCCCATTTATCTCCAGTTTCCCATTTTCCCCACGTATGTATGGATGTACGTGTGGGACATTGGGGCATCCTGTAAACCGGTCAACGCAGGGAAGCTAGAGCATAAAGGGGGAAGGCAAAGTTGGATAGTGTGGCAATGACTGCTCTTTAGAAGGGATGGTGATTTACTGAACTCCAGATATGACAGAATGAAGACAAAAATACCAAAAATTGCTCCTCCATTTAGGGTGATCTACATCCCTGTTTACCGGAATAATCCCACTTTGTTCTGTGGTCCTGGTCTACTTAGTAATAGTGTCCCCTTCCATAACGAATAAGTCTCAGTTTGGACAATAAATTATGTGGTCATCCTGTTCATTTCTTACCTATTTGCTAATAATCGTATCATTGGAAAATAGGTCTTATTGGACTATAAACTCATTGCAGGCAAGGTCCATATCTTATTTATCTTTATACTTTCCATGGTACTGATTAGCACAGGACTGTGCTCATTGGATATTGGTTAAAGGAAAAAAAAAGAAACACATGTATAAGGCTTCCCAACAGTGTTTCTCGAGGTTTTCCGTGAAAGTTTTCCATGGTCAAATAAATCTAGGAAATGCCACATCTTTTCTCTTGGGGATTTAGCATATGTTAGCAGCATTTAAAAAAATAATAGTTTTGCCTTATGTCTTTAGGCTTTAAAAGTACCTGAAATGAATTTTTCTTTTCTTTTCTTTTTTTAGAGACAGAGTCTCACTTTATTGCCCTCAGTAGAGTGCCCTAGCATCACAGCTCACAGCAACTTCCAACTCCTGGGCTTAGGCAATTCTCTTGACTCAGACTCCCAAGTATCTGGGATTACAGGTGCCTGCCACGGTGCCTGGCTATAGTTTTGTTGTAATTTGGCCAGGGCTGGGTTCGAACCCACCACCCGTGGTATATGGGGCCGGCACTCTACCCATTGAGCCACAGGCATTGCCCTGAATTTTTATTTATTTATTTATTTATTTTTTCTGAAATGAATTTTTGTCATGGTATGAGGGCAGGGGTCCCTCAGGGCCTGCCCATACACGTTCTTGGCCTTGCCTTCTGTGGCCTCCCTGCTGAAAGCCCTCAATGCTCCATTACACTACTGTTGTAGGTGAAAGTCACAGGCTAATTAAGTTCCAGGAAGGACAGGAACTCAACTTTCATGGATAATCTTTTTCCCCTGGCAACTCAGGTGGGACAAAAACAGAGTCATCTACTATGCTGGGGGAGATTTGGTGGCTGTGTCATCTAATCGGAAGATCCATCTTCTGGACATCCAAAAAGTGAAGGCGTTACCCATCGTGTTCCGCGGTCATGCTGGGAGTGTCCGGGCCCTCTTCTTGCAGGAGGAGGAAAACTTTCTCGTAAGCGGAAGTTATGACCTAAGTATCAGGTGAGAGATCCAAAGACGTTAGGATCCCCATCCCACCCAAAGCCTGAAGGCAGCTCATGGATGAAGGGTGCATGATTTTTTCTGTTTATATTTATTGAAAAGTTATCCTAAATGATACTTATTTCTGGAATACCCGCAACTTATTTTTGGCAATGTAAAAGGCAAGAATTTATATCTTGTTTAAACTTCGAATGAGATAGATTTATAACAATTATCAGCTATATTTTCATAACCATGAATCAGAAAAGGTTTCTTTTTTTAGCATTCATAGACAAAGACATAATTTATATTTCTTCTCTTAGATTCCTTCAGGGAGAAGTAGTTTGTGTGTGTGTGTTTGGCAATGAAATACAGTATAGAAGCAAAATAGTGTTTAAAAATGTATTTATGCATGTGTTTTTAAACAGGTTAATAAAAACTCAGGCCAAAAAATAGGACAATAGGACATTACCATTCTCCAAGCCCTTCACATGTCTCTTGCTTTTTTCTTCCTTCCAACCAGAAATAATGTTATCCGAAATTTTATACTAACTATCCCTAGTATCTCTTTATAGTTTTCACTTCCTGCTTATGTACCTCAGAATATATTCATTACTTTTGCCCATATTTGACATTAAATCATATTTTAAAAATTTGATTCTTGCATTGAGCTATGTTTTTGAGATTCAGTCGTATGATTTGGGTAACAGAAACTAATTTCCTTTATGGAGATACAGTATTTTATTGGGTAACTCATTATGGACATTTGCATGAGTCTAGTTTTCATTCTTTCAGAGAATGCTGCCACAGACATGTTGTCCAGGGTCCACATGGATGAGTTTTTCTTAAGGTGTTAGTTAGTAGGGAATCCCTAGGAAGAAGTGCTTAACTGTTTTCCAAAGTGGTTGTAGTAAACACCCATCAGCAGGTTAGGGAAATACCCTTTCTTATTAATCCTCACCAATTCTCAGTACTGTCAGTCTTTAACAGTTCTGTTAATCGGGCATTAAGTAAAATTCACTGGGTTTTTACTGGAGTTTTAGTTTTAAATAATTACTAATGAAGTTAAATACCTTTTTCTCTCTCCCTTCCCCTTTCCCCCTTCCTTCCCTTCCCTCTCTCCCTCCCTCCCTTCCTTCCTTCCTTTCTTTGCCAGAGTTGGCATCATAGCTCACAGCAACCTCAAACTCTTGGGCTCAAGCAATTCTCTTGCCTCAGCCTCCCCAGTAGCTGGGACTACAGGCATCTGCCACAATGCCGGCTATTTTTAGAGATGGGGTCTTGCTCTAGCTCAGGCTGATCTAGAAATCCTGAGCTCAGGCAATCCACCTGTCTCAGCCTCCCAGAGTGCTGAGATTACAGGCGTGAGCCACCGTGCCCAGCTTTGAACACCTTTTCATATGTGTATTAGTTATAGAGTTCTCCAAAGAAACAGAACCAACAGGATAGTATATACATAGAAGGAGATTTATATTAAGGCACTGGCATTGACCACAAAGGCTGGCAAGTCCAAAAATCTGCAGTGTGGGCCGGGAGGCTGGAGGCCCTGGAGAGCCAGTGGTGCTGCTGAGTCCAGAGGCCATCATCTACTGGACAGTCCCCACTGGCTTAGGGAAACCAGATTTTTGTTCTACACAGGCCTTCAAGTGAATGCATGAGACCCACCCACATTACGAGTCTGCTTTACTCGGAGTTCACTGACTTAAATGTTAACCTCACCCCAAAACACCTTCCAAGTCAACATGTAACATTAACCATAATAATATTTTTAGAGCCATTTGTGATTCCTCTTCTATGACATTCGTGTTCTGTGGCTTTTTTTTTCTGGAATTTTTTGTTGATCTATCTTTTTCTTTTTGATTCATAAGAATTTTTTTTTTTTTGTAATTTCTGGATTCTCTATTTCTGTGTTGCAAATTTCTTTTTCCAATTTGAGATTCTTCATTTCACTGTCTTTGGTGCCTTTTCGTGAACAGAAATTCTTAACTTGGATGTAGTAGCCTTTGTTAATGGTTAATGCTATCTTTGACATGTTAAGATTCCTTGCCTACCTTAAAGATGTGAAGATAGCGTCCTGTGGTGTCTTTTTTTAAAGTTTTTATTTATTTATTATTTATTTTTTGTTTTGCCTTTCATCTTTATGTCTTAAATCTACCTGATTTTTGTTATGGTATGAGGTAGGAGTCCAGTTCCCCATCTTGTTTTTCTGTCTCCCTATTTGGATCTCCAATCATCTCAGCACCTTTTATGGAAAAGACAATCTTTCTCTTCATTGTTCTGTGTTATTGGCTTTGTCATGAGACAAGTGTCTGTGTATTTCTATTTCTAGATTCTCTATTCAATTTCATTTGTCTCTTTAGCTATCCTTGGTCAACACCACACTATCTTAATTACTTTGGATTTTAAAGTCTTCAAGTGGGGAGGGCAAGTCCCCATCTCGTTCATCTCTAGAGTGTTTTAGCTATTCTTGGACCTTTACGCTTCCATCTACATTGTTCTTGGTTTTCATTCTGTTTTGGACCTCGAGTGCAAAGGATTGAGCTGATTATACTTCTCAGTTCATTCCACATTACTGGTCTGTACAAGGCTCCATTCCTGTTTTATTTTATTCCTTCATTCATTCAATTTGTCTCTGGTCTTCACGCTTATTCTCTTCCCTGCGTGAGCTACCACCTAATCTTTCTTTATGTGGCACTTTTGATTTATGGATGTTCTTTCCAAATGAGTACCGAAGTACTTGGTACTTGTATCTGTGATTCACGTGGTATTGTGGTAGACCTCTCTTGGTTTGTAACTTTTGCACCTGCCCTATATGTCAAAAAGATTCATCTATGTTATCCTTCATCAGGTGAGGTGTTTACAGCTGTTGTGTAGCAGCCCATGGTCCACACACACATTTTACCTACTGCTTCTCTATGATGGTCGTGGGTTGTCTCCAAACACTGCCTCATTGAGCATCTTTGTGTATGTCCCTTTGTGGATGTTGTGAGGTCTTTCTTTTTTTAAGGAATGTGTACCAAGGGGTGGACCTGCTGAGGTGTAGGTTAGGCAGCACCTGATTTAACTAAGAAGTCCCAGACTAAAGTCCAGAATGATCACCCTGGTCTGCACGCTCACTGCATCTCTACTTCCAGACCAACACTGGACCTGGTCTAGCGTTCACGTTCCTGACAAATGAATATGTGTGAAGTCATTCCCACGTACATTACCCTGCTTGCTAAGGAGTGTGCTTATTACCTTTGCGACTTCTTCTTTTGCAAATTGCTTGATTATGTCTTTGGCTTACTTTCCTGTTGGGATAACTCTAATATTCTCAGTGATTCCCAGTTCCTTATATTTCTTTCTACTCCAAAGAGTCGATATTATTCTTTTGTTAATGTTAAGGTTGGAAATATCATCTCTCATCCTTAATTTTTTTTTTTTTTGTAGTTTTTGGCTGGGGCTGGGTTTGAACCCACCACCTCCGGCATATGGGGCCGGCGCCCTCCTTCTTTGTGCCATAGGCGCTGCCCTCTCTCATCCTTAATTTATCTATTAACTTTGCTCATAATGTCCCTTGTTGAACAAAAGTTCTTTTGTTCTACGGATGTAATAAAGTTTATCACTTTATTAGGGTGTTTTTTTCTCTCAGGTCTGTGATTCTTCTCACTTCTAGGTCACAGAAATATTTTCTATTATTTTCTTCTATTAACATTACAGTTTTGCCTTTTGCATTCAGTTCTTTAATCCATTTGCTGCTCAAAACTTTCCATGTGGTATAATGTAGGGTTTCCATTTTATCTGTTCATTCTTAAAGTGAACAGTTTTCTGCATAAGTGAAAGAAATTAACCTAAAGTCCTGGCATGTTGCTGGAAACAGAAATTCGAAGCATGCTTTCTTTCAGCAGACTGCTGGCACATTGTTCAATGCATGTGGCTGCCAGACTGGTAAGACATTGGTAAGGCTGTTGGATCTTTGGGAATATTAGTAGGAAAAGCTTAACATATCACAAAAACTGCAAAAGAAACATTTATTGTGTGCCAAGACTCACAGTAATTCAGTGAGACAAGTGCTGTTATTATCCCCAATTGTCAGATGAAGAAACCGAGGTATCGAGTGGTTCTGTTACTTACCTCAAGATGACACAACGAGCCAGTGATGGACCTTTAGCAGCTGCTTCCAGAGTCCATTGTCTTAACATTTCAGTTTGTCCTGTCACGAGAGCAGCCTGGCCAAAGTGGAAGCATGTAGCAATGACAACTGAGAGACCTCAGGCAAATTTTCTTATTAGAAAACTGTGTGGCTAGGCGTGATGGCACAAGCCTGTAGTCCCAGCTACTGGTGAGGCTGAGGTGGGAGGATTGCTTGAGCCCCTGAGCTCTAAGACCAGCCAAGGCAACTTAGCAAGACCCCATCTTTAGTAAATAGATAGATAGATAGATAACTATATGACTTTACATGTTCCCATATATCTCTTAGATATGCTGTAGATATACATAAAATATTTTGAATCTTAATGACTGTGGAAAATTATTATTTTGGATTAAAATGAGGGCCATATGATTAGATAACATAGTTTGCTTTTGTGAGGTTAAAGTCTGAGTTGCAGTTGTGTCCTTCACTCAAGAAGTGTGTCAACAGCCCTTGTGATAGACACTGTGGGTGGGGACTTATCCAACCCCTTCCCGCCTCCCCCTACTTGAGTTTAATTGCATTTTCTCTCCTGTGAGCACGTGGTTGTTAATTTACCAGTTTCGATTTAGTACTGAGTACATGTGATGCCTATTTTTTCATTCTTATGATACTTCACTTAGAAGCATGTTCTCCAAATCCATCCGTATTGTTAGAAAAGCTACAAAATTCCCATCTTTGCATGGCTGACTAGTATTCCACAGTATACATACTGACTGTGGCAAATTATTCTGTTGCTCTTGTCTGAAGACCATTTCTACCACTAAGTCAGTGCCATGATGCTAGGCCTGGGGGTTACTCCACCTAAAACTGCCTAATATTTATCAAGCATTTGCTATGATTTAGTACCTGTTCTAATGCTACATGCTCTGGCACTGTTGACAGCTGGGGCTGGAGAATTCTTTGCTGTGGGGCTGTCCCAGGCAACAGCGGGTGTTCAGCAGCTCCACTGGCTTCTACACGCCAGATGCCAGTGGCACTTCCCTCCCCTCTTGTGACCACCAAAAATGTCTCTAGATATTGTCAAATGGCCCCTCAGGGTAAAAATCACCTCTGGTTCACAATCACTCCATTAGCACATTTTAATTCTTCACAAAACCCGTTTGATTAATTATCATTTTCATTTTATCAATGAGAAAATGAAGCTTACATAGGCATAAAGTAACCTTCTCAACATTACACCAAATAGGTGTTGTGACTGGGGTTCAAATCCAGCCTCTGACTCAAAGTCTGGCCATGAAACTCTGCTGCTTTCCAACTATGTACTGATCTGGAGGAACTCCCTAGAGTACCATGCATCCCTTGGGCCCTCAAAAAATCTCAAAAACTCTTTTTTTTTTCTTTTGGACTGCAGATACTGGGATCTGAAAAATGGGAATTGCATACGAATCTTCAATGGCCACCAGGGCACAATCACTTGCATAGATTTATATAAAAACAAGCTCGTATCAGGAGCAAGAGATTGCCAGGTGAAAGGTGAGAAAGAAACGTCTTACGTTTCCCAAATCCATGGGCTACCAAAATGCTTGTTTTGCTCATTTGTATAGGCAGTCATTTATTCTTTTATTCACCCATCCGTCTGTTCATACACATATGCATCTTACCAGCTGGTCTGTTCAGTGACTGTTGACACCTACCACGTGTAACATGCTGTACCAGGAGCCGGAGAGGGAAGTGATGCTATTTCCTCACCAGGCTCACCTCACAGTCTCCTAGTGAAAGCAGATATGTTGATGTAGAATGGGGGCTGGGGGGGGGGTATAACAAATGCATGGATGGTAATGGCTGTCATTTATTGGATACCAATTTTGTGGAAGGCACTGTGATAGTTAGTTGCTTTATATATATTATCTTATCTAATCCTCACAAGAGCTCTATGAAGTGGAGGCACATGAGGAATCCAAAACTCATAGAGAGGCTCGGTGCCTGTAGCTCAGTGAATAGGGCGCCAGCCACATACACCAAAGCTGGTGGGTTCGAGCCCAGCCCTGGCCTGCTAAACAGCAATGACAACTGCAACCAAAAAACAGCTAGGCTTTGTGGTGGGCATCTATAGTCCCAGCTGCTCAGAAGGCTGAGGCAAGAGAATCACTTAAGCCCGAGAGTTTGAGGTTGCTGTGAGCTATGAAGTCACGGCACTCTACTGAGGGTGACATAGTGAGACTGTCTTAAAAAAGAAAAATAGTAGTTGTCAATTATAATGAAAGATGGAAGCCCCAACTGTGGACGAGATTTTCACTAGAAAAATACTAGGAAAGAGTGAAAAGAGAAGAGAAGCAAGGAACCTGGGGAACCATGGCATGTTAGGGGCAGGTGGAAGAAAAAGATGCGGGCGGCGCAGTGAAGCAGCAGGGCATGCAAACACGCAGGCCTGCTCAGGGAATCCCGCTCCACCCCCTGCCCTCCTCGGCCTGGACCAGTAGGTCATGGCAGTGACTGCTCTGAGTGCAGCAAGAAGGGAGAGGTTGGAGAAAGAAGGGCAGCCAAGGTCTCCAAGCTGGCTGGAAAAGTCTCCCAGGCCACCAGCACAGCCAGGACTGGAAAGTGAGGCGTTGGGTCCCTGCCTTAGATGTAAAATTTAAGGGGACACCAAAACAAAACCAAAAAACTCCTCCATTGATCAAGATACATATTTCAATGCAATATTTAAAAAGGCAAGATTAATGCACAAAATTCACAATGAACAAAATTTCAAAATCTCTCTCACTTCACCTGGCCACCAGCCTGCCTGGGTTACCAAAATAGAATGAACAAGGAGACTGCAAATGAGTCTTTTAATTCATCTTTTCATTTTCCCATTGGTAATTTTATAAATGGGTCGAGATACATACAAAAAAAATAAGTGAAGCAAAGTATACTTACATAATTAGAGTTAACGTAGCACAAATGGTAAGTAGTTAAGAGCATGGCCTCTGGGTCCAGACTCCCTGGGTTCAAATCCCAACTTTGCTACTTACCACCTGTGGGACCTCAAACCTTGCTATGCCTCAGTTTCCTCAGCTTTATAGTGGGGAATAGTTCCTGTCTCATGAAGGTGAGTTAATCAATGTGTTATTATTATAACCACCTTGAATGGTGCCTGGCTCATGGTTAGTGCCATGTAATCAGCTACTATTATTATTCTGTCTGAGGCCACTAGTTCTGTTGCCCAAGGAAGACAGTGCCTTGGGGATTGATGAAGCAGACTTTAATGCTTTCACCCCTGAATTACAGTGCCCAGTTCCAAATGCTTCCTTTTAGCTCTGTTCTCCCACCCACTCATCCACGTTCATCCCCACCCAACCCCTATGTGTGCCGGGGAGCGGCTCTAACACAGCCTGTGCAGAGTCAGCCTAGTCAAGGCTATTGTTCCGTAAAGTCTAAAAGTCAGACTCGGAAATATTTAAAAATGTAAGTGTACATAGACAACTTTCTTTTCTTTTTGGAAAGAAAGTGTGGGTCAGGAAGACAGCGTCTGGGACGAGTGACAATACCAAACGTGCCATGAACACCACCCTGCAGCAAGCATTTTTTCAGGCTTGAAAATAGGCTTATTGGATATGAGGGGCCTGGCACATGGACCCCAAGGCTAAGTTCTAGGTCAGACTGAGGTCTTCTTCATTGCCGGCTCTCCTAAGGGCCCACAGTCAAAGCTGTGTTGTAGGTATGTGGAGCAGGTGGTGAGCCCATCTTGGGGGGTGCCAGACCAGGAGCTTGGAGGGTCTGACTTGATGGGTGGGAGAGGAGCTCCATGGTGCCGTTTCCCCTTCCCCTTGCCCCTTTCCCTCACCTCCCCTCTCTCTGTGTCTCTTCTCCTCTCTCATTCTCCTCCTCAGAATGGGATTTAGATACAGGGAAGTGCCTGAAGACGTTTAAACACAAAGATCCCATCTTGGCCACCAGGATCAATGACACGTACATTGTGAGCAGCTGTGAGCGAGGGATAGTCAAAGTGTGGCACGTGGCCATGGCCCAGCTCGTCAAGGTGAGAAGGTGGGGTGCTGGGGAGCAGGGGCCGTGGTGATCACAGATTAGAGGAGACGGATGGGATGCCCCATGTAGCTTCCCAGGCCATCCTGGGGAGAACACACCCATTGTGAGTCCGTGATGGGGAGGGGTCCACTTTGTCATGGGCTGGAGCAGGAAGCAGCAGCAGAGTTAAAGTACCTTTTTCTCCTCCAGAGTCTTCTGATTCTGGCCTGGGGTGAGAGGTGAACAAAGCATTTTTCCCCCCTTACCTTGTCAGTGAGGAGAAAATGTTGAGGAATGAACAGACATGTTTTTTTCTCCTTACTGTAATGAAGACTGTGTTGAAAGTGATTGGATGCTCATAAAACATGTTCTTGCTGGATTTGAAGCCCTAGCCTTAGTGGATGGTGGTGTTGTATCATTTACAGCAGAATAACACAGTGACAGTCTTGAACCAGCATCGCCGGCACAAGGCTGCCTGGCGTGCACTCCAGGTCCTGGCGAGAAGCCGAGTTGGAACAGGTTACCTTCACTTGTCTAATAATAGACAACAGTGATTTCTGGCCCTTTCTGGTGCCCCAAGAAGATGGGGTCTGCCCTAGCCATAGACCCAGCAGAGCCAGTCCTCTTAACTAGGAGAGGGCTCTTTACTGAGGAAGCATGGAGGGCTGGCCCTCTCAGAGTTAAAGAAGAGTCCAGGCCTGGAACCAGTGAGCAGCAGTCAGGGTGGGGAGCGTGGCTCTGGGATTTAGTCAAGAAGGTCTCCAGCTTTGGTTCTTGGAGGTGTCACAGTCTCAGATGAAGAGGGGTGGAAAGCAGTGGCGTCTTTTCTTGCAGACTCTCAGTGGCCATGAGGGACCTGTGAAATGTCTGTTCTTTGACCAGTGGCACCTCCTGTCGGGGAGTTCTGACGGGCTGGTCATGGCCTGGAGCATGGTGGGGAAATATGAGCGCTGCCTGATGGCCTTCAAACACCCAAAGTAGGTGCCGCTGGAACACACCCGGTGCTCCCTCCCAGTCAGCTGGCTTCTCATCCCCTCTGCACCTCACCCCTTCTGCCTTCCTCCTGTCCCACCTGGAACCCATCCTCTCCACCATCTTCTGTGTCTGGCCATTCCCCCTCTCCCTTTCTCTTGTTTCTTTTAAGAAAAACCACATACCACTAATACAAGTGGATTTTTTCAGAAGTTATTGAAATTTTATGTTTATGACATACTTGTTATCTATTAGACATATGAATACTAGCAGAACCATCCCAAATAATGCCAGAAAATTCCTGGAATTGGTCATTCTCCCCGGAAGGCTGTACTTGCAAAAGCTTAAAATGATCCAAGTGCCAAAGGTTGGTCCAACAGCCTAAGGGCCTAAAGGAGCTTGTGGGCCAGATTCAATTTTGGGACAGCAAATGGATTTCATTTTACATTTCGATACAAATTTAGTGGTGGTGGCTGCTTGGGGCCAGTTAGTAAGTATTCTGAGGTCACATCTGGGCTTGTTGAAAGAACCTAGTGTGGTCAGTTAATGACTCTGCCACGGTCAGGGTTTTACAGGCTGCTCTGTGCCACTGTAAATGTTTTCAACAAGTGACCCCAGGTAGCAGTTTTAACAATGGACTAGAAATAAACACAAGGAAGCTACCAGGCTGGTGAAATAATGAAGTCCTTTCTGTTCCTTCCAGTACCGGGACTGTGGGCTGTTATTTTCACGGCTACCCTGAAGCTGGGGAGTGCGGCATGAGACAGGGCAAGTCAGCGTGGCCCGGAGCTCAGCGTTCTTGCTGACAGCCGTTTCTCCTAAGCGCCCTGTGGGTTGTTGCGCACCTTTAGTTTTTTCCCCAGAGTTCAGGAAAAGTTGATTTTGACAGATTTTTTAAAACTAGTTTTTCCATTGCTTTTATGGAAGGGCAGAATTTTGGAATTCTTTATCATTTTCACGGACATTACTCTCCGCTGTGTCTTGGATGGAAAAGGAGCGAAGGAGCAAAGAAGGAGACAGACAATTTACTTCTAAGGCAGAGATAAAGCCTGAAAGAAGACTGGGCTGATCTAATATCATAATAATCTCTGTTTATTGTGTGAAGTACTGGGCTGAATTTTTTATTTTTTATTTTGGCCAGGGCTGGGTTTGAACCCACCACCTCTAGCATATGGGGCTGGCGCCTTACTTCTTTGAGCCACAGGTGCCACCAGGGCTAAATTTTTAAAATATCTTAATCAATTTAATCCTGACAGCGACCCTGTGAGGAAGAAATTACTATCCCTGTTTCACAGAAAAGAAAACTGAAGGTTGAGAACTTACTTTCTGAAGGTTGTGTAGCCAGTGAGTGGTAGAGTCAGATTTGATCCCAGAGTTTTTGTTTCAAAGCCTGTGCTTTTAATCCCTAGGCTACTAGGGCATAGACCAAATGTCACAGAAGCCTACGAGGAGAGAAGTGTAGAATCAGCTCAGCAAGATTAAGAGATACACCAAGAGGCAAAACCTTCTAACACAGGGTGTTTCTCCCAGTGTTCAAGTACTGACAGGTGCCTAGGACACCAACAAAGTTATTACATTTTCTTTTTTTTATTGAGCCTCAAGCTATCACCCTGAGTAGAGTGCCATGGCGTCACAGCTCACAGCAACCTCCAACTCCTGGGCTTAAGCGGTTCTCTTGCCTCAGCCTTCCAAGTAGCTGGGATTATAGACACCCACCACAATGTCCAGCTATTTTTTGTTGTAGTTGTCATTGTTTGGCAGGCCCGGGCCGGATTTGAAACTGCAGCTCTGGTGTATGTGACTGGTGCCTTAGCCACTTGAGCTACAGGAGCCACCCCAAGTTATATTTTCGTCTTGGAAAAAATAAGCTCGTTGGACTTTTCAATACTTACTTTACAACTTAGTTCTAACTATCTATCTATCATCTCTCTATTGATCAGTCATATAAGGAGGGGTTCAAGTCACATTTGCCACCTTGCTGTCCTTTGAGTGGGCTAAGCATCTTCCTGCTTGTTGAGGTCTTTGTTTTTCCTATTTTGTTAGTGGTCAGGGCCATGAAAAATCTTCACTGGCCCTGGGATCTGACCAAGGCTAAGGCCAAATGGCATGGGGAAGATATTCTTTCAACACACTGTAGCAATGGCCATTACTCTGAAGACATGAGCAATCAGTTTTTTCAACAAATGTATATGGAGGGCCTACTATGGGGTAGGTGCTGAGCTAGGTAATGAACATTCATTGATGAATAAGACATGGGTTCTTCCCAAAAGAATCTGATAGTATACCTGAAGTTTCTATAAATGTGTGATGGTAGAGATGGGGGGTGGGGGGAGGAGATTGAGGTAAGGGATGGTTTTTTGGAGGAGATAGCACATGAAATGGGCTGTGGATAGACTGGGATGGGTGGGGATGGCAGGGATCCGTGGACTTGCTTTGCATATAGAATCTAACTAATTGGTGGCATTGAATTCAACTTTCAGTGTCATTAACAGAAATGGGGTAATTATAGTTTTCAGAATTAAATACTGTATGTATGGGAGGTCCAATTTGAATCCAGCTGTTATAGGGAAGGTTTTGGGGGAGAAATCTCCCTGGTTCTTTCTTTTCTTACTGGTCATCACAAAGGGACACTCATAAATCTCATCTCTGGGTACAATTTTCCTTAAGAGTGCTTCACTGAAAGAAGGACATCCAGGCCAGGCGCAGTGGCTCACACCTGTAATCCTAGCACCCTGGGAGGCCAAGGCAGGTGGATTGCTTGAGCTTGGGAGTTTGAGGCCAGTCTGAGCAAGAGCAAGTCCCGTCTACTAAAAATAGAAAAATTAGCCAGGTGTGTGGCTGTGGCAGGCACCTGTAGTCCCAGCTGCTCAAAGGCTGAGGCAGGAGGATCACTTAAGCCTGAGATTGCTGTGAGTTAGGCTGGAAAGCCACTAATTTAAGACCAAAAAGAAACTGCTGAAACATACTACTACTTATGCTACTTATAATCATTTTCCTTCTGTATTTTCTTTATTATATATTATTTTAAAAGGACTCAAAACCACATAATTTTCAGCATGACTTCTGTATAAGTAAACAGCTAGGAATCAAAATGCAAGAGAAAACCATGGTTTTATATATATCTTATACCAAAAAAAAAAAAAAAAAGAAAGAAAGAAAGAAAGAAAAAAAAGAAAGACTGAGCTGTGGCATCAGCCTTTTTGTTTTGCCACCTTGTGGCACTGTGACTTAACTGCAGGAAAAAGGAAAAGTAACCAGACTGGGGCAAGGTATGCCTTGACAGTTAATGGTTCACATCCATAACTGTAGAATGATAGCAAACACCACTTTAAGTCAGTCAGGGCCGCTGCCTCCCACCCATACACTAAATACCCCAAACTATAGTCAAACCCCAGCAGCCTGTTTCTCTGTTCCCTTCCAGGGAGGTGCTCCACGTGTCCCTTCTCTTCCTCCGGGTCATCAGCGCCTGTGCAGACGGCAAGATCCGCATTTACAATTTCCTCAATGGGAACTGTCTGAAGGTGATAAAAGCCACTGGCAAAGGGGATCCTGTGCTGTGCTTCTTTATTCAGGGCAACAGGTGGGTGGTAGGTGTGGAGGTCAGAGCCGTGAGCGATTCTGTCTGGATCAATCTTTTCCTCCTCTGGGATACCAGCCCTGGATTGCAGGCAGGGGGAGAGAGTGGACGTGCTTCCCTCTGAGTCTGGCTGCAGTGGAGTAACAGACTTGTGGGACACAATTGGGTTTTGCACACGTGGTGCTTGGGGCGCAGTCAGTGCATTCTGACTCTTCATCCATTCTGGGTGTTTGGGGAAATCACACAACGGCTGCAGTATTGCTCTCCCGCCAGGCCCACAGTTCTGTCAAGGTGTGCCCCTGCTTGGTCTTGGATCATGCATTCAGCTGCCTGGAGCCCCACCACCTGTCTCTGATGTCCATCTCTATAGGAGGGTGGGGATGGCAGCAGGGTACCCAGCTGGGGACTGCTGAGTGGGTGAGCTTACAGAAACCAGTCATGACTGCACTAATTGTATATGCTGCTATTCTTATTACATAAGTATATACAATAGGTGCAGGGCGATATTATGTGAAAACACCAAAGAGAATCAACTTATAAATTCCACCCTGAGTTCACTTGAAACATCACTTAGTGTCTCTGGACCAAATCGCCTTCCTTTTAATGAAACTTCATTTATTAATATTCTAGATCAGCGGTTCTCAACCTGTGGGTCGTGACCCCTTTGTAACAATGAAAATACATCCTGGATATCAGATATTTACATTACGATTCATAACAGTAACAAAATTACAGTTATGAAGTAGCAACCAAAATAATTTTATGGTTGGAGGTCACCACAACATAAGGAACTGTATTAAAGGGTTGCAGCATTGGGAAGGTTGAGAACCACTGGTCTAGATCATCTTAAAGGAGGTAGCCTGGTAATAAGGCTCAAGCAATGAATACTTTTCACTTATTTGGAAATACTGCTATTAAAAAATCAGCTCTCACCTTTTCTCATCCACAGCAGCCAAAGAGATATGATTTCCTTTTGGCTGAAGTGCAATGAAGTCTTTCTGAAAGATATTTCTTATTGGAATGAGTCCCCAAATTCCACGCTAGCATTTCTAGCCCAAATAAGTTACTTTTGTAGAGAGTTTATGTTAACAGTTAAGGTCTTAAAATTTCAGCTTTTGGGAGCAGAAAGGAACCTAACACTTAGAATTCCCACTTCTTATGCACAGTTCTAGGAGATCTCTGCTAGGGTGGGCAGCTTATTTTGTATAAATGACAGAAACCAGTGGGTGGGGGAGGCAGTACTGGGGAAAGGATGCAAGTTTCAATGCTTTTTGTCTATGGGTGTAAAAGTGGGGGTTAAATCATCCTGCTTTCTGAGGTACAGAGACCCTAGAGTGACAGTGTGGAAAGTGTGGGGTCTGTGTGGAGGGTCAGCAGAGGGGTACACCTCCCCATTAGAGAGTTTTCTTCACTCTCCTCTTCCATCCCACCAATGGAAACATGGGTTTGGAAACTGTGCTTTAAAAAAAGGGAGTGAGTTTTAAGACATCTGTGTACAGAGTACCTAAGCTTCTGGGCATCTCAGGTAATTGGCACTCGCTCTAAGAACAGAAATTCATTTAAAAGTATTTTCACTTAATAAGTGAAATAATCAGAACATATGTGCCCATTCACATTTATTTCTTAAAAGAAAAGAGCCATGTGCTGAGAAAAGAGCATGGCCTGAGACCCTTCTCCACCCTCCCCTCCCCTGTGTGTATGGCCATTTCACCTGTACACTGCTCCCTGGGCTTACAGACGGGAGGGGACAATGATCGATGGCAATGCATCTTTGGTGACCTCCACGCTGCTATTGGGGGCAATCTTGTTGTTTTGGTTCCAGGATTATAGTCAACACAGAGAGCAACATCCTCATGTTCCAGTTTGAGAACATCAAATGGCAGTACGCGATGGAAAAGAGCAAACAGAAGAAGAACAAGGACAAAGACGAGGAAAAGGACGAAAACAGCCTCACGGAAGCCCTCTCCAAGTCCAGCACTCAGATTCACAGTCTGAGAGAGTCCATATCCAGCAAAACTGTGACCCAGGAGCTTCTATCAAGTAAATCTCATAAGCCCCGAGTCGTCCTGAAGGTGGCCAAGTTATCTTCAGGTAAAGGGGCCAGACCCAGCAATCTCAGTGACAGCCAGTGGCCCAGGACTGGTTTGTTTGTGGGATATTTCAGTCAGTGGTTTCCTGAGGTATTAACATTAACCCTTCAGGAAGGTGGGAACTAATCTCTTTGATATGCCAAACTATTTGCTAGCCAGCTAAAGGGAATCTCCTGATTTTAAGGACTAGATTTTCAGACTTACTAGACTCTTTGTCAGTAGATAAGACGAGCTTTAATACTTGCCGTTAACAAAGAAAACAAATGAACAAACAAAAACAAATAAAAAAAAATTCTCAGTCCCCCCTCCCCCAAATCAAACACATATAACTATTTCCTCAGGACAGAGACAAGAAGTGACTACAAGCAGGAAAGTGCATCCCGATCACCATGTGTGCAAAACCCAATAGGATGTATTCTCTGTAGGCCTCTGAGAGAGAATATGTGTAGCTAGAAAGTCTCAGTTATAGAGCAGAGTGCATGTGTGTGTGAGAGGGGTGCAGGCATGGCTCATCCAGACAAAGTATGTGTAGGTAAGAGTAGCAAGACTCCTTCTTGTTATCCGCCCTATCTTTGGCATGTGAAATTGGATCTATGCATCTTCAGAGAACACCAAGCATATCACACTACAAACAGCTTTCTCATAAAGAGTGGCAACCAAAAGTTTCAGATAATGCTAAAGCTTGATAGTTAATAGGTAGGTGAATGGGAGGGGAGTCAGGATGCAACCGAGACCTGAAATCCAGGTAGCTGCTTAGTTTCATACTGCAATAAATTATACCATGCCACGTACAAAAAATACAGCTAGAGAAGAGGAGTAAGTTCCAGTGTTCAATGCAGAGTAGGGTGACTATAGTTAACAATCATTGATTGTATATTTCAAAATAGCTAGAAGATTTGGAATGTTCTCAGCACAAAGAAATGATAAATTTTGAGATGATGCCTAAATACTATGAGCTCATCATTACATGTTGTATACATGTATCCAAATATCACACACACCCCATAAATATTGTTATCCATAAAAATCAAAGGGTGATAATCAGTCCAATGATACGCCCTCATTATTACTGATTATATTGTCATTATGCCCGCATCATTCACACCTAAATCGAAGTATGTCATGACTACGCTTTCTTCCTAAATCTCAATTCAATTTAGCAATGTCAATAGAGGAACCTCAAAGTCAAGAAAAGCCAAAATCGCCCCCAAAAGATAGCAGGAAGAGAGCTTATGCTGTTCATAAAGAAGCACGTGGTATGAATGGTGGGCAAGAGAATTTGGAAGCAAAATCTGGGGCAGGAGGTAAAGTGATTGATTGGTGATGCCTCATTCTGAATTAGCAGTGAGATGGAAACTCTCTTTTCTGCCTCTGTCTCTTTCGATTTTAGTTTTGTCTTCCAGCAGGCCAACAACTTTGCTTATCTTTCAGCATTCAGAATGAATGTGATGCCTGACTTCTCCTAAGAGAGTTAATATTTTCCTTAATTGTCCCCTTACTAAATAGAGTCCATAGAGGGAAAACCTTTATAAAATCCATTTCTAGTTTTTGGCTAACAGCTTGCCTCTGTTCCTGGCCTGTCAGCTTCCTTACTTCTTGGAGTAATGGCTCAGCAGATAATGAAAAAATCTATACTATGGAATATTAAAGATAGTTAAAAATTGTATGATGAGGATCCATATATAATAACATGAAAAGAGATCCATAATATATAATCATGTGGAAAAAGATACATTTATAAACATTGAGCTCATAACAAATTACACAATTAGGTTTTTTTTTTTTTTTTTTGAGACAGAGTCTCACTCCATTGCCCTCGGTAGCTCACAACAACTTCAAACTCTCAGGCTCAAGAGATCCCCTTGCTCAGCCTCCTGTGTAGCTGGGACTACAGGCACCTGCCACAACACCTGGCTAGTTTTTCTATTTTTAGTAGCAATGGGGTCTTGCTCTTACTCAAGCTGGTCTTGAATTCCTGGGCTCAGGCAGTCCACCCACCTCAGCCTCCCAGAGTGCTAGGATTACAGGTGTGAACTACTGTACCTGGCTACAATTACTTTTTTATAAAAAGAGAAAAATTCTATGTTTTTGGGTTTAGAAGGAGAGGGGGGAAAATTATGACATCTTATATTAATTCAGTTTTATATGTTCTAACCAAATATTGTTTAATTAGCAAAGTAAAGGTCAGGGGAGAATTTGAAGTTTCATTCCATCCTGGTGTGTCCACATGCAAACATCTTGGGCTAGAACCTATCTGTCCAAGGAAAATTATATACTTAATACACTGTTGCATTTTATTCCCTAGTGTAGCTTGGGGTACAGATTTTACTTTCTAGGTCAGACTGGGCAGATGGATTCTACTTTTCATGATTCAGTTATTCCATTTTTGTAAAATGAGGATAACACTTTCAAGTGTTTCTGTGAGGTGCTGTAGAGCCTGAAAAGCCTGATGGCCTCCCCATGAGCCCTTTCTCCTCCCACTCCTTCCCTTTTGGAACAAAAGGCCACAAAATGCCTAACTAGCACTGCCCCCAGACTTCTTGCCACAAGACTCTAGCCCACCAGAATCTATTCACCTTCTATGGCCCCGTATAAAAAGAGGCCTCCAACCCCTCAATGCAGATGCCATGTTTGGCTCTGCCCAGGTAGGTCTCTGTGCCTTTCATTAAACCAGGCCTGAACCTCTCCATTCTCTGGTCTCACCTGCGTACATCACCGATCTTCCAGGAGAGACATAATAGATTTCCTTACCTGTGAAGACATTTTTGTTAACTTAATGGTCTTAGACATTAATAGGTCTTGACTATTAAACACTAGGGCAGAGGGAATCTCTTATCCTGGTCAGTGGCTTTTGGACCTACTATTGCTCAAAACATATTGGGAACTCCTCTGGAGGAACCATCTTTGAGTCATGTTGTGATTATTTGCATTACCCGGGGTGATTTGGGGAAATGTCCAAGATTATTTGGAGTCACATTTGATCAATAAGGTAGAGATCAAAGTTTGCAATACAATTGTTAACAATTGTAGAGATAAGGCCAACAACTTTGCTGTTGTTGTTGAAACAACAATTCTTCTTGTTGAAAAATATGAGTATGTTAATATTATACATTTACAAAGCCTGCTTTGTATAAATCATAAATGATATGTGAAGGTCATTCTCAAAGGAAAGTTTCAAAAATATGTGGACCATTGGGATCACATCTAGAGGTTTGTATGCACTTTACATAATACTAATATATTCATTAAGAGCTTGTTTTGTTCCATCGCCATTTCTGATTCCACTGGGGACATCTGCCCTCATGATGGCATGCCTGTTGGGCAACAAAGAAGTTGGTGTGCCCAGAGATTAGAATGGCTTTAACTTTCATGTATGAGTACTTCATATTTTTCACAAAATGCTGATTTATTTTTGTTTTCTTTTTCTGAAAAAGCAGATGATGTGATGAAAGCACAAAAACAAGGACAAGTAGAAACTCTTGGAGAACTGATCCATCATCACCTGAAGAAAAAGTCTGGGAATATCCCTCTGTCACCTGACCAATTCCTGCTAACCGTCAGCGCCGTGCAGAGAGCCCACAATTCAGGGGGATTTGCCTATCCCCGTAGGCCCCAAACCCAAGTCATCGATGCCTGGGGACCTTCAATCTTACACACAAGGAAGGTCCTGAATTTCAAAGGAAAATCAGTGCAGCAGGCAGTTGATCAGTTGAGAATGAGCAATCCTCCCATAGATGTGAAAAAAACCAACGTTCCCCTCGAAATCCAGAAACTACAGCCTAATCTGAAGAACTCTTTGCAAGGTCCCAGAGTACAGTCCACCATACCCCAGCCCGTGCTTATCCGTCCCCGGTTCCCAGGCAACTTAAGGGAAGACCAGGTGACAAGTTCAACTGAAGGGCTAGTGCGTATTACAGACCCCCTGACCAGTATGCAGGTCATTAAACACAACCGCATGGTGGTGCCACAAGTGAGCAAAGCCACCCTTACTCTCAAGAAAGAGCGACCTCGCATCAACACAGCCCTTGATCCCCTGAGGATGAACACTGGGTTCATGCTGTTGACTGTGAAGGAGGAGAAAGAGTACGGGGAAGCCAAGATGAAGGAGTATCAGGCCGGGGGCTCCATTGCAATGGTTGATCCAGAAAAAGCCAGCAAAGCTGCATGGATCAGGAAGATCAAAGGCCTGCCTATTGATAATTTCATGAAGCAAGGGAAAATTGCAGCTCCTGAACTTGGACAAAATGTATTCATCTAAACCAGCCTTGGGAAATTACAATATCTTACAATAAACAGAAACCCAAGTCAGGTGGATGTTGGTATTTGGCCTTTTTTTTTTTTTTCTTTTTTGACTGTTTCCACATTGGTAATTGCAATTAACATGAGAACACCTGATTATCTTCTTGTGCCTCAAAGCATTGATAACTTCAAAGTGAGAAAACAGGAGGAGTCTGGGAGAGATCAGCAATTATATTTCCATGGAAAGCCATTCAGTAAGACTTAGGAAAGCCAAGTTTCATTGACAAAAGATGGGGAGGTGATCATTGGAAATGTGATATCATTACCAGTTTAGGGCTATTAGTTCTTCTAGCAAATGAAATGATGGGATTGCATCAGGATAATACATTGGAGTTTCCTGCCATTTTTGTGTAGAAGACTGATGAAACTCAGTGAATTCAGTGAAGAATCTAAAAGTGGAAGCCCACAATGGGTTTGACCTATTGCATTTGAGAATGTTTTGTACACTTTTCCTTCTCAGGGCTAACTGCTATGGAACAGGATTAAGCATCTTCAATCTCTCTGCAAGGAGGGCTACTAATACCGAATGTGTTGAGGTTTCTACTTAAACCTTTGGAGGATGGCGTTGGAGACTGACGGGTAATTCAGAAGAGTGTAGCCCATGAATGGGGCTGTGTCCCGTGGTTAAATTCAAACACCATACAAAGCTGCCTTCTACTCAGCGGCTCAGCAAGGCCTGATCTTTTGACTATTCAAGAAAAGCCAAAAATTCATATTTTTCTGTGAAAGGCCCTAAATTTTAAAGGATGGTAATGAATTAAAAAAGAATGCATAACAAAAGCAAAACCAACAAAAAGACAACTCCATGATTCCTACGACACTGAAAACATGCCAGGAGCAGGCTGGATGCACAAGCCTGGAATTCACAGCTAAAGCTTTTCACCACCTAGAGCACAAACGCAATGTCTTTGTCAAGCACTTTTCCTGTGCAAAATGCTTTTTCCCCCTTCATGATTCGGGTATTTGGTTTTAAAAAGCACTGGTACATACCTTTGTAAAAGTTGTAGTTTTAATGGAGAGAACCCCATAATTTAGGGGAATGTGGGAATAAACAATATTTCATGATCCTTCCCATAGCAGTCTGATCAGGTGAAATGGACAGGATATTATCATCACCCTTTCAAAGACCCGACACCCCTAACGTTAAGAACAACAACGTTGGGGGCCCTTCATGTCCTTTGTCCAGGCACGATCATATCGTGAGCAGCGGGACCTAGAACAGTAATAAGAATGACGTCTCCCATTTGCTAGATACTTACACTGCAAGGATACCACTAGCACCGCCTTCTTTATGATTGAGAAAATAGTACATAAAGATTGGCTATATAATTGGTAATAGAGGATCCGGAACTCGAAACTATAGAGTGCACGGTTTGTACTACTCCTTACTGTTCCTGGCATCTAAGGTTATTTCTCTTCCATACTAATGTCCTTTATCGTCCTCCTGTCTTAATGTTTTAAAGCCTTTGAAAGAGCACATTCATTTTTTTCAATGCTTATAAAATTTAAAGCACAAAATGTGATATTGTAGAAAAATATATGTCATTGTATAACACTTAAACGAAATTAAATAAATTATGGCATAATAAAGGTCCGATCCTGCATTCATGGCATCGACGCTGGTGGAAATGACTTTAGAGTTTGCACACCATAGACAGCAGAATAAACCACGAAGCTTCCCCTTTAAATCCTACGTAGCCCTTGGTTCTTTTCCCATCTCCTATTCGCTCTTGTTTGGAGCAGACTGCACCCCCACCTGGACGCATTTCCTATCCGGTCCCTACTGTCCCACCCCAAGATAACCTGGTCCAGACACCTACCAGCGCCCGGGATTACCCCGCCCTTCCTGCTCCACCTCGGATAACCCCGCCCTCGC